CCCTTTTTGCACAAGGTGCTTTCCTGATATGTTAAACATGCCATCTTTGGGTGATACTGTATATGCCATGATGGGGCCCGGCCCCTCAGGGGAGTGTCTATAAGAACTGCCTATTTATGCTCATTTACCTCAAGCCTGTCCTCTCTACCCTTAATCTAGTCGGCATCACTCCATCTTTTGTACTGCTGTTGACACTTACAAATTAAAGATACATTTTGTTTTATGACCTCTGTGTACGACCTTGTCTGTGCCCTGCAAACCTTCCGCCGAGGCGCCGGGAGAGCCCTCTCCTTGCCAGCGTCCTGCCGCTCTCCTGGTGCGCAGGGGGGCCGGTCCCTGGGGCTCCCCCCTCCCCTCCCCCAGTCATCAGACTCAGACCCCTTCACCTGGGGAGACGTGCCTGGCTTGCTCGCCTCACGGCGGAGCACTCCGGCAGCAGCAGGGAGAGCGTGTGGATTTGAATGGGTGGAACGGGATCCCAGGTGGCTTCCTGTCCAACTGAAGATGAAGGAGGGTGCCACTTCCAATTTGCCTCCCTGCATCCGGAGAGCAAAGCCCCTTAGAACAGCTCTGAGCATTTTGGGGTGCGGAAGACTCTCTCGGGCCACCTCCCATCGGACACCCAGGCTAGCAGTCCAGAGTAGAACCTGCTGCTCCGGAAACTTTCCCCTCCCTGTGGCTGGGAGTGGGGAGCTGATTCCCAGTGGCTTCTGTCCCTTTGTCCGGGCATGAGTCGGACAGGGAGCACAGCCCGGCTGCAGATGATCTCAGCCCCTAACGTGTTTGCAGAGCGCTTTCACTGGGCTCAAAGAGCCCCAGGAATGGAGGTGGGGGAGTGGGGTGAAGTGACTTGCCAAACCAGCCACACCAGTCCTATGGATTTCCAGAGATCTGTGACCAAGCAAACCCCCGAGGAGAGACAGCAAACCCAACCACTGGGAGTTTTTCAATGAACAAATCGCCTCACAGAGAAAAGCTGAGGACTTGTGGGAACTCTGCGGGGCAGCCAGATCTGAAGTTTGACACAAGCTGCTCTAAGTTCTACCAGCCTGGCACGCCGTGAGGTTTGAAAGTCCAGGTGAGCATGGGGCTTGGAAGGGACATGCGCCGTGGAGTCACACTGGCTGGCCCTGCTTCTTCCCCAAGGAATGTCTCTGAGTCAGATTTCTCTTCTGCCAAATGGGGTCATGGCGCCTATCTCAGGGAGTCGATGAAAGAAAACGCCCAGCATGCACTGCCCTTTAAGAATCCTGTCTTCTCTGGTCCCAGAACAGGGCGTGAGTGTCACAGACTGAACCGTGCGAAGGGATTCCCGAGGCCTCATGTGACGTCGTTCAGAACTTGACCCTGTCTCGCAATGATAACCCCAAACTCCCTCTGAGCTCCTCTGCAGACCAAGGGCTAGCTCCTTTCCCGTTCACGGCGCCCCCAACATGGGCTTTCTTTCTAAAGCACAGGTCTGATGCCCTCTCTGATCTGCTCCTAGAAGGCTTTATGATCCGTAGCAGCTCACACCAAAGCCTCTCCTTCCTCTCTCCACCTCATTCTCTCTTTCCACTCCTCCAACCTTCTTCCGGCTCCCTGCGGCTGACTAGAGCAGAGCCACCAAGCCTCAGCTCACCTGCCAACCCGACTGACCATGACCTTTACTCTGTCCCTCTGTCCCTTCTGTCTTTGAGAAATGCCCACTTCACGTGACAGATCCCACCCAAATGTCAGCTCCTCATTCTAGGGTTAGGCTCGCCCTATGGCTTCAGGCTCTCCCTCTGGGCCCTTCGGCC